TCGGCTCCCATTTCAGCCAAAATTTTCACAGTTTCTGTGTGTCCGTTCGCCGCTGCCAAATGCATTGGAGTTTGCTGAAAAAAGAAATGGATGTCAATAAATTTTACAGATTAAACTTTTTTCGCCGTTGTAGTAAACTAGTTTTTTTTCAATTATTTACGTTAACTGAAGCGTTGCTGAGTAAATTTGCATAAGTTTTCCGGAGTTGTTTTTGTTTGAAGCTTTTATTCACTTTTGTAATGTTTTTAATAGAGATCATAGTGGCCGTTGAGAGAAAGCTGTAACTTGTGTTGTCTTCTTGAAAATCATAAAACTTTAAATAAAATTATCTGAAAGTGAAGGAAACAAAACTATAAAATGTTATTTCTCAACATTTAAAATATCTTTACTTTTTTACTGTTTTGCGGATTGGCTTCGGCACCGATTTGAAGGAGGTATCTGAGTACTTCAAGATTTCCTCGGTGAGCTGATAAATGCAACGGCGTATTCTAAAAGAATATTTTTGCTCGTTTATCTCAATCAGAAATTCGTAAGGCTTTTTTTGACTTCTGATTATGCTGCTACTTTTTTGGCTTTTAGTATGTCAACGGAGAAGCAGACTATAGCGGATTTTGAGATGCTGGCAGAATGGGTCATGAAGTGTACGATGTGTTTTATGCTTACTTTAGAAATATTAAAGTGACAATGCATTAGTGTTTTTTGTTAGAAGTATAGTAAGGAGGTCTGAGACATCAAAAGTGCAAGCAGTACTCTTTAGATTTTTATCACAACATATGATTTTTTCCCAAAAATTTTTTTGGGAATTCATTACTTGCAGACAGATTTACTGTCTCTCTAATACAGTACGGTAGGCCCTAACCGGAAATGTGAAAAATTTGCTATCGTAACAAACGATATGCTGAACTTCTTCTGCAAAATATACTGCCAATAAACAGAAAAAAGTGAGGAAAAACAAATAAACTTTACTTCTTCTCCGTCTTTTGAATTCTTATCTACGTGATTTTCAGCTAAGTACTTCACCATCGGGACGTCTCCTCTGAATGACGCTGTATGCAACGCTGTGCGCTGAAAAAAACTATTCTTTCATATGTCGACTTCTTTCCTCGCAAAGTTATCTTCTTAAACTTTTTCTCTTGTATTTTTTTCCTTTATTACAGTGAGCAACCAAGTATTTTCTCCGTAAATTATGCAGTTTAGGAAAGTGTTCCGGATAAACTAAAAAATGAACTTTTTCGTGTTTCTATCAATTTTTAAATTCCCTTTCTCTGCGAGTTTTGTTAAGCAAAGCACTTGTATAAAGTTTTCGCGCATCGTAATAAAGCTTCATTTTCAGGCGTTTTCTGGCATATTCTACTTTCCATTATTTACTCAGAAGTAAAATCTTATTCAAAGCAGCTGATATTCGTCTTCTGTGCACAAGTTTTCAGTCACCCATTTGAAAAATTAATTTTTGACTAGTTTTTATGCTTGTTATTCTCAGCTTAAGCGGCTTTCGTTAGATGAGATGTGGTCGTCAAAAACTCGTAAACCGTTTCTATTGTTGCAATTTTTCTATATTTCCTCGCCGCATCATTAGTTAACCGAAAAGCGTACTAAGTAAAATAGAGTGTTGATAAAGTGAGTTTGTTAGTAGAAGGGTATCAGTAATTAAGCAATTGATCGTTAAAATACCGTTTAGATAACTATGTTTTGCTGAAAGACAGATTGTTCGGTACAAAAAAGTTATGCTAGATACTACCATCTGTATTGAATAACCTTTTACTTTTCAAAAACTAAATCTTCTTTATGAAATTTTTCAACATTCGTACCTGATAACCGTCTTTTAGAGCAGTGTCGCATCCGCTGCTGACGAGGTACTTCACCAACTCGACGTTTCCGCTGGAAGCAGCTTTAAACAGAAGACTACTCTAAAGGATAAAAATTTAGCATGAAATTGCATGAAATTTATGACACCCATTCCAAGAAAACAGCTTTCTGGAAGCTATTTTTGATTATTTGATCTCTAAGCTTCTACCGTCATGTTCCTTTGTTCTGTCCTCAATCAACTTTTTCTCCGCTTCTCTAAGACTGTCTAAACAAAATATGCGCAGCGGAACTCTTTTAACGTCAACTGCGCTTTCTTTTTTCACTTTTGCGTTTAAAGTTATATATTTTGTCAAAGCAGCAAGTAGTTTTGAGTTTTACGTCTAATTATTTACCTCATCTTTCCTGGTGATATTTACTCCATATTTCACAAAAAATCGAACAATCTCCAAATGTCCGCATTCAGTTGCTACAGACAATGCTCTTTCCTGAAACGAATGCGAAATCTCTGTGAGTCTGAACCAAGATTCATTTTGAGCCGACAAAACGTGTAAGTCTGCATTTTTTATTTCTAGTGTTCTCGTTATTTCAATAAGAGTTTTTTTGAGCACAAATCCTTATCAGCGTTGGCATATCGTTAGCAATAAAAATACTTTTTACGATGTAAAAGCAGAGAGCACAAAAGTAAAATTAGTCTTCTGATTACAATTCTTTATACTTTGCTTATTGTTTATAAGGTCTTTTGTTACAATTCGCAAATATGGCTTTAATTCAATACGCTCACCAAAGTGCCTAATTTTTTCATATCGAGCTCTTTGTGAAGAAACTGGCTCAGTTTCTGCTCACCAGTAAAGTAAGTTAACGCAAAAAGAAATTGGGAAACAGAAACCGTCATTGATTACGGGTACTAACCATTGCTTCCTTTATTCTTCCTTCTTTGAGCTCCTTATGTTCGTTTAACAAACGACCGATGCTGACCAAATCCCCTTTTCTTGAGTGTTCACAGAGCTCTTCGATGTAATAAAATTCCATGTTCAAAGCACAGTCAAAAGCGCACGGAAGCTTGTCAAAATGCTGAAATAGAGGATTATATATTTTGCTATCTATCAGGATAATAAATAACACAGAGTGATACTGCGTTGTATCTGCACGATTTTTTACCTTAGTTTTTTATCCGCTTTAGGTCAAAAAAGTTTTCAAAGAATTTTCTGCATACCAAAAATTGGAAGATAGTTACAATGACCATTTCAGTTTTTCCAAGGAATTTTTGATTTTTTTCTAACAGTACTCTATATGAGCTCATTGATTTCGTAATTAAAATTTTCTCAAATCTAGTTACTGCTTTTTGAATATTCAGCGGATTCAAAAGGCTTAGGAAAAATCATTCTCACAATTACTTTCCAGATTCTTCTAAGGCAGTTGAAGGAGAGAGGAAAGGCAGAAAAACTTTATACAGTGGTTAGAAAGACACAGTTTGGCACCACTGTTATGAGGAAGACTGTTGTATTACTTTTTATTGGTGCTTATAATACTATTTTTGACAATGTATTTCTTTGTAGTCTGTAACTATTTGTTATTTGCTTATCGCTAAACAACCTTTGTTTTATTTCAGTCTAATAATTTTTTTCAGTCTTAAATGGCAAAGTGACTGGTAGAGCAAATTTTGCCAGACATTATTCCGAAAATATTTCGCTGCAGCAGAAGCTATGGAGCATAATCTTGCTTTATTCAATTTTTACAACAATAGTTAATTCAACTTTTTATGCATATGTCATAACTGTTCAAAATTCTTCTCTGCCTTTTGAGAAGGATTACATGTTTTAAGAAACACTGATAAGTTTTAGGAGCACTGTTAAACATTGATAAATTTTACGAATATAGCAGACAGTAAAAGTTGTGACAGAAGGTTCAAAAAATTCCTGTTAATAACAGTGCGATGTTTTAAAAAAGACGTGAAAAAAATGGGGAACACCACTGTATGAGACAAAACTACACATACTAAACTTTTTTCTTTTTTTGTTACTGTGGAGAGTGAACTTTAAAAGCTTGAAGAATTGTTGACCAGTACTACAGGTAACTAATTTTAGTTGGTTTATGGAGGTGAAAATATTTAAGGCAGAATGAAGGTGTTATATAGACGTGCAGCAGTTTTCTATGTAACACTTCCTGGCATATAAAGGGTCATTTCTTAATTTCTCGGTTAAGGTCTTGTTCTTCTTTACTATTCTATAGCCAAAATGAACATCAACCTCCTCATCACTGAATATATCATTTGGAAAAGTCAGTTATTTCTCGCTTCTGTTTCTTAAGCCAAATAGCGTCAGTTAGCTTTTGTTGAACAGTACTGAAGTAGCTAAAAGCCATCTTTACACTAGTTTCAAATGTGCACATCTAACATTGTCTTATGATGCTAACAAATAGAATGCGATTTCCTTCAACCTGTTGAGTTGTACATAAGGATAGACTAAACTATAAATTTGGAGTCTAACGCGCCTCTGATTTTTTAGTTGAAATGTTCTGTTTTTTTGTCCAATCTTTAAAATGGGGATATTCAAGCAAGAAACCAATAAGTAATGCCACCAATAGCTTATTTTTTCCAGATAACATCTATTACGGCCGTTAAAAAAATTTTCTGGTTAGTTTTAATTCTCCGGTCGATATTTACTACTTTCTATTCAATAAATGTGGTAACATAATGATGATTAGCGATCGTAGGTGCTTCTCCCCTTTTGAATTTTTGTATTAGACAATTCTTCTGATAGATGCCACGATTGAGCAGCGTCGTTTTACCGAGTAACGACTCATAATATTGAACTATTTTTAGTTGTATTTGTTTTTTCGTGTTCAAAGTTATCAGTGCAATTCTCTTCAATCTGTAACTGATTGTGTTCTTTAGTTGTTATTAAACCGTCTGTATTATGTTTGAGCTCAAAAGATTCAGTCTATTCTTTAAAACTGATAAGAACAAAACAATTTTTTTTGACTCATAAAGTCTATTGAAGTGAACATCAACAATTGTATAAGTGAGAAGTTTGCCACGAAAATGTTCAAAAACACGGCTTATTGGTTGCCACTTTGAAAGAAAACATCGTAACCTTATGAGGTTTTTAAGCTCTGCATCTGCCACTCTTTAAATATTTTTTGATATCGTTTAGCTGTCTCTCTCAAAAGAAATCAATATAAGGTGTGAAGTGGCGAAAATAACTGTTAACTTGATTTAGTGTGAAATAAATTCGTAAATCTGTAAACTCGATTTGGAATGTCGGGAAGCACAATTACTGATACTGTAAACGAATGAAATTTAATATATAGCCATGAAACTTTAAGAATGACAGCAGCTCACAGGTAGTAAAATAAACTGTTACAAAAACAGAATCTGCTGTTTTTCCAGCTGAGAAAAAAACATTGAAATACCTGTCAATTGACAACAAATAAAGAGTTTTCTCTCAACGTCGGCTTCTTTTATTATCAGCTCGTAAATTTAAGAAGAAAAAAGGTTTTAGGTAATTAGTACTGCTCCTACACCGTCTTCTGATCACGGCCTTTTTTCTTAAGTCAGTTGCAAACACACAAAACAGATATTTTTTATCTATTCTACCTGAACTCTTAGAATATTTCTGATAAGATTTTTTTCAAGTGATTTAATTAGTTATTCAACGAGAATACTGAATGGCATAGTTATCACACAGCCAAGATTACTACGTTTTCAATTCATCTCCAGAACGGCACAGCAAAAAAACTGTGCAAAAACTACATTTTTCTTGCTACAATAAAAAAAA